AACACTCCAAGACAGCTTTCTTTTTTTTTCTCCCTTCATATGTGTTGTTGAAAGGAGAAGGGTCTCTATGTGGCAGGGGTGAAAAAGGGAGAAGCGTGGCACAGGTGCGTTGCAGATCGGCATTTGAGAGAAAGCAAACATTCTGCTGCAGTCTTTTCTTTCTTTTTCTTCTTTTTCTCCTTCGTGCGCAGCGTTGAGGTGTCGGAGGTGCCGCCGCGAGATCGGGCATGGTGCTGAGAGCATTTTTGGAGCGCGGTATGTTCTAATTAGCAATCGCACATGCTTGCGCGTTCCAATTACAGAGCATTTTTGCCTATAGGAATACACATAGCTTTGACGGAACCACAACGCGAGTTCGGATTAACCGGAAGTTCGAATTAAGCGCGTTCAAATTAATGAGATTTGACTGTAATAAGGCTTGACGTCATCCGCAAGGTCCACTAACGGCAAGGTTGCCATTTCGGAGGCCCACGCACTCGCCAAACGCGCAAAAATCTTTCTGCTTGTGCGGGGTTCAATATTCGTACAGCGACTTCGATGACTCTGGAACACCTCTTGTACGCCGACGCACGTACAGATAGACAAAGACTTGTCTAGAGCGTCCAGCCGGCTGCTCCAGCTGTCGTACTTTTTTTTTTTTTTTCCAGAAATTTGTAAAGAGAGATGGCATAATGATACCAAACATGGTCATACTGCGTGTGAAGCCCTTGTGCTATATTGTAAGCATCAACGGAAGCTTGTAGCAATTGTGAGGTAGAAGCCGTGGTCAACAACACTGCCGACAGACACGCGTTCCGCTGCTCTAGATAAGTGTGATTTTATGAAAGGCGAACGGCACGTACGAATGGACCTCCAAAATGGTGTGACTATAGTGTGGCCGCCTTGCGATCAAAGCTCGATGCACACCCCTATATGGCCGCTCCAGAAAGCGAAGCACTTTCGCCCGTCACTTCGCGTTGAAAGTACAAGGTAAAAGGGTATGACAGCTGTTTTTAATGCCTGTCGATATAGCGAGCACGCCAGCGATCACGCCCTTAAAGTCAAAGTTCATATAACAAGCCCCCCCCCCCCCCCCCTTGCGGTCCTAATTCCTTCCTGCTCCTTGAAAACAGGCAGTGCGTTCCTCTGCTTTAGTAACAATTGATGGCAGGCCTGACACGCTGGGTGATGTTATCGCATCTGTTCTCCATGCAATGGAGCTACGTCTGCTCTTTTATCGCTGCTTTATCCGCATTCGTCAACCCCGCTCGTGCGCTCTTCCCCGCGTGCGAAACGCTATACGCTGGAGGATGTTATTAATTTGGATGGTACTGAAAACATGACGGTGACTGAAAGTGGCGTAGCCACTGCCATCACCCCCCGCCCTCTCGTAATTTTTTTCACCATGGCACATATTGTGTAAAATGACCATTTGCCTACCTGGCCCTCTCCCCATCAATTGAAGGTGCTCCCCTCCCCCTAAAAAATAAAAAAATATTTCTTCCTAAGCCCCTGGCGACGACGAAATCCAGTCGAGAATGTCAACAACAACAAAATGGCTCTAGTCTTTAAGTTGTCTTAGGCGATTGCATAAAGTGCCCTTTATAATTAGAGCGATGGCGTCTACCTGGGCGACAAATACCACCGGCGGCGGGTGGAATTCTTTGCTCCCACCTGCCACCTGCCGAGCCCTTTATAAGCTCTGGCTTCGTGCCATTGGTAGAGCTTATTGCGGAGGCCATGCTGCAACTACTACTGTTGCAAACGACATGGTACATCGAAGATGACGTCATTACATTCGCTGAACGTCTGAAAAAAACCCTGTGGCCACCGCGGCAGTTTTTAGTCAGAAGATGCTATTCGAGGTCATTTTTTAAAGCTTCCCCATTGATATTCGAATTCTGCAGTTAATAAACTGTCATTACGCACTCCAAAGCAACCTTTTTTCAAGAGCTTCTGTTTCCCTTTAAAAACGCTTCTTATGTAATAACCCCAGTGAGGTCCTACATGTAATAAAATAAAGCTTAATGATATGAAAAACAGCAAACATTTCTGCATTTCTCAGCATAATTGTGTGTCATATTCATCTGTTTCTGCCTAATAAAAACTCAAGCCCTCAAACAATTTCCTTTTCGAGTATGAAGAGATGGTGCTAGAGGACATAATTTCGGATACCGCTTTTGCAATTGTGTGCAACGCTGCAAGTGTGTGCACGTAACTACGAACTATGCACTTAGCTGTTCATAGTGTTGTTCACTGTTTGTTCAACAATATTCATCAAGCCTGTGGGGTGTCACGAGACTCCTACGCTTACCAGGCTTGGGCATAGCTTGTAAATAAGCAGGCTGCTTTGATCGCTTTGTAACGATTGTGTCTGCCAATCATGAAGAACCCGCTTGACACAGCAGTGAAATTTGTAATGGAATGTCGCAGAGTTTTCGCGGCATCTGTGGCTTGTGCCTGATTGATGGTTGTCTAAGAGCTTGTGCAGGTAGCTTTGTGTCTGCCTTCTTTCCCACCACAGTGTGCTTCTTCAGTTGATTGTTGGCATTAGTGCTATCTCCACTAGTGTTCATGGTTGCTTGTCCTACCTTCCTTTGTAATCACCCCCGACCAACTAGCTCAACTTTTTGTTGTTTTATGACGTAATTATTTCCTATGTAACTTGGCATCATCATCATCAGCATGACTACGCCCACTGCAGGACAAAGGCCTATCCCATGTTCCGCCAGTCAACTCGGTCCTGTGCTTGCTGCTGCCACTTTACCCGCAAACTTCCTGATGTCATCTGCCCTTTGTCTCGCCTCCGTGCGTTTGCCGTCTCTTAGAATCCAGTTGGTTAACCTTAATGCCCAGCAGTTATCCTGCCTACGTTCCCAACCCATGTCCATTTCTTTTTGATTTCTACTATGATCTCCTTAACCCCAGTTTGTTCCGAGATCCACTGTGCTTTGTTCTTGCCTCTTCAGGTTACACCTATATATTTACTTTCCATCGCTTGCTGCATCATCCGGAATACCTATGTAAATATGTGTACATAACTCCAAAATATTTAAATTATATTTATGTTCTACCACTTGTATATTCGCATCTAAATAATTCTTGTGCACTTGCTGTATAGCAGTGAAGGTGTTTTATTTTTCTTGTGTTAATGTTAGCCGAGGTTCCCAGTGCAGTCGCTTGACTTAGGGTTCGTTGTGTGGACACTACCAACTATGAACCTCTGTATTTTGAATGAATGACAATAAACTCAACTGAACTGAATGCTTCCTCTCTTATGGCATTTGAGAGAGTGCTAGCGAGCTACACTGCTTGGGGATGTCACTGAAGCAAGCAGGGAGAGTGAAAGCTCTGGTGGACAAACTTGCCTGCTTAGGCCCAGTGATGGGCAGTTCAGTTTATTTGAACGTCTTCATTAGTGAACAGATTTCAAACGTTATTTTGGAGAAGCACAGCTTAGACAGCACTCTACAACTTCCAGTGATCAGCTAACATTTGCGATGGTACCTGGTGAGGTGTCTTGTAAGAATTGCTGCATAGTTGCCCTGAAAAGCACCGCTATGCTTCCAATTTATCAGTGGAACAGGATTTAAAAATTAATGCGACTTGGACTCCCTAAACTGGACTCCTTCAGACTTGTAATCCCCGAGTTTGTTAGCATAAAATTAGCTCATTTGATCATGACGTCAACACCCTTTAACTCCAAGAGCTTGCATATAATTGGTGCTGTGTGACATGCCTTATGATCTTGCACCTTCAAATATTAGTCTTGTCAGAGGTTCCAATCCAGTAAGGATTTTTTTATTAAACATGCAAATCACGAGATATTTTTAACTAGCATATCCCATGAAAGAGCTCGCAAGGGGGTAAGTGATTTGGGATTATCTAACTTGCACCACTGATCATTTGATTATTGAGGGGGCATGTGAATGCTAGTGCTTTCAGGTGTGTGTGAATAGACCTAAATGTAAACATAAGCATTTATAAGGCTGGTAGTAATTGCCCCGCCACGGTGGTCTAGTGGCTAAGGTACTCGGCTGCTGACCCGCAGGTCGCGGGATCAAATCCCGGCTGTGGCGGCTGCATTTCCGATAGAGGCGGAAATGGTGTAGGCCGTGCACTCAGATTTGGGTGCACGTTAAAGAACCCCAGGTGGTCGAAATTTGCCGAGCCCTCCACTACGGCGTCTCCCATAATCATATGGTGGTTTTGGGACGTTAAACCCCACAAATCAATCAAGGCTGGTAGTAATAATGAAGACGAGTGAAAGGTGGAGCTCATTCAGACTCGCTCAAAAAATACATTTTGCTCTTTGTGCTCGCTGGGACTCGGCTCGTCAATATTTGCCTCTGCTGGACTCACTTGGACTCGGACTCCAAAACTGGACTCGCTCGGACTTAAGCTCACCAAAACATTGCTCTTCCGCACTCATGACCCCATCGGAGTCTGATCGATTCACGAGCGAGTTTGCCAACCTATGGCCACACGAGCTTCAAGCCTGTCATCAGAATTCGCCATTAGGAAAGCGCTTTGTGAAGAGTTACATGGTTTGTTTTCACTGAGTAATAGACTGACAGTTTGATGCTTTGCTTCGGAGTTCAGCTCACCACATTGTGTGCATTTCCCAGGCAACTTGACTGATTGATTGATTTCTTGATGAATTGCTAAGTTAGTTTAATATCCTGAGGCCACACAAAGGTTATGAGGTATTTACTAGAGAGCTGTCAATTGAATCTGACCTTCTGGGCTTTCTTTCTTGCACTAGGCCCATGCATGGATTCAGCTATTGTGGTTGTGCGGGAAATCCACATCCTTGGGGGGAGATATAGTGTGGGTGATCATGCGGAACGTTAAACATTGTGTATATTTCTGAATGAGCCATTGTCTAATACACCTGTGAGTGGTGAGCACTTGGAATATTACACATGTATATTTCTGAATGAGCCGTTGCCCTCTGCACCTGTGAGTGCTTTGCATACAGAGAGGCCATCATTGGTGAAGCCCTCGTGGTGCTCTTGCAGCCACTTCTTGTTGGAGCGTCGGCGCTTGAAGGATCGCATCGTGCTCCAGGGCCCAGCTGGCAACAGGGCCGCATACGCGACACGCATCTTACGCAGAGCTCTGAATGTGGTACGGCGCCGCTATGATCGCTCGAAATTGCTCCCACAGGTGAGATCATGAGCTGTACTTGTTCTGTATTGTTATTATTTGAAATATTTGGCTCTAGGCATACGTAGTAGAGAGGCATACGTAATATAAAGGTATGTTTGCTCACAAAGACTTGTGAGTGAGACATGCGTCTCGCTTGCTGTGAAATTAAATTGAGCATCGCTGGGGCGACGATTGGCTTACGCAATGTGCGGAGCAACTGGGCACATGTTTTTTTTATTCATGTCCTGTCGTGAAGCAGACCAGCCCTGTGCAGCTTTCGTCCACTAAAAAAAAAAAAAAAATGACAGTAACACAAAAATGCATATGCTTGTTATGTTTGGCACACATTTGTCTTTGAAACCCTTATGAAGAGCTGCTGTGGAAGGTCCTAGGAAAGATCTGATCAGCAGAGCGCTTTCTTGAAAAAGAACTGGACTTTCAACGGCAGTTGCTGCAACTTTGCCTGTTTTGAAAATCCGCGTATCTCTATTTTTACAGTTGGTACTGCTCTAACCTGACGCAGTGTTACTGTGTTTTATTGTGTTTCTGAATACCATTAGACAATGGAGCCAAGAAAGGTATAGGGAATAATAATTGCGCTGTTTTATGTGTATTGTAGTAATTGTGATACAGATGTTAACGAAAGTGGACAAAAGGTGTACAACAGTGCACGAAAATACAATCTGTCATTGGCAGGGAACGGACTTGTAACTGTTGGATCGGAAGGTTGCAAGTTAGGTCCCTTTCAAGTAATCTTCATTCACTTTGTTGGTGTCATGCATTCACATTATTAAGTTCAGGTCATATATTCGGCAAGCATGGTTGTTTGGCCTAGTGTTTGAGGCACTTGCTTTCCGATTGGTGGGGGACTCGAGTTCGAACTCCAGCCCCTGACCAGAAATTTATTTGGTAGTTTACCGTATTAATTCTTTGGTGCGTTCCAGCTATGGTTAGGAAGTTTTTTTGGAACACCACCATTTTCAGTATCTCGGGTCATTCTATGCAAGCTTCGCTTGAAAATGAGTTTCCGATTGTAACCAGCCAGTTTGCAAGAAAAACCTATCTCAGTAGTTGATATTTCTCTAAGCTGTTTCTATATGTTTGGAGGTACTGAAAAAAACTTTGCAGTTTCTTTGACGAATTGGAACCACAGGGCTGGTGTGGTATGCATCAATTACATTGCAATGATAGTGTATTACAAGGCTACCTCGTCATAAGAGATATGCGTAGGGGAGCAAGTTCCTGTTTCTCATATAAGGAGTCCTCTATAAGCAGGGTGCCATGTTTGCCTGTTTTGTTTCCTGATCAGTCCCTATTTTTATGTAGTGGCACTAGTGTCTTTTATACACAGTGTTCTCTCACGTTGGTGATTGTCCAATTTCCTGTGCTGCCCTGTGCCATTGTGGTTGGGCTCACTCGGACAAGAGCGTTTCGAGATCGGAGGCCTCACCACCAGGTTTTAGCACTTCGCCGTCATGGCTAGGGCCACGGAGGAAGAAATATTGAGAAGGCGAAACTCCCATTAGAATGTGTGTCTGGAGGCGTCCAGATAATTACACAAAAAATATAAAAATAACATTCTCCGACGACGACGCCAGGGCCCATGGGATCATGGCCGTCGTCTAGGTTTGGTCCTCCCTTCTGTCGCACCTGAAAGGGGAAGAGGATCTTTCTGCTAATTAAATACGTTTGTTCATCATCATCATTCGACAGAGACATATCAATTGGTGCCGCCTTGTGGTGCAAAGCCGCAACCATGAAAAAAAAGGAAGAAAAGGAAGCGCTACCAGTTGAACGTGCTCCGTGACTGCAGCGAAACGCGAGCAACGTGTTTGCCTGATTTGCTCAGAAATGGAAACAGAGGCAGTCACCTTTTCTGCTGCAAGACACCGCCAGCATGACTTGGGCCATCTTGCAGTGTGAGTTTATCTGGTCGCCTCAAAGGTTGGATAGCACCTTCTAAATGTTTCTTCCTCTGTAAGTAGGGCACATTGTGCCCATGATAATTTTTCTCTCTGCTGACTGTCGTGCACAGGTAGTGGCTGCTTGTGAGCGGCAGCCGTTTCCGGAGCCCACGGAGGACTCCACCGGAGAGCTGCCCCAGTTTGAGGATCTCTACCAGATGATCCGTGAGGTGATGGAAAACCACGTACCAGCTGCCTTGGGAGACTGCGAGCTCTGGCTGATGCATCGTCTGCTGTGGACCATAGGCAACATGATGAAGACCCTCGACCTAGATGCTTCGAAGGAGGCCCTGTACCAGGCTCTCCGCTGGGCTGCTGTGAGTCTTGCGTTGCCCGCCTTTCAAATTCTTTATGTGCTGATGTAGGACACGCAGAACCACCGAAACTGGCTGCACCAGCCGTCTTTCACCAGCTTGACTCGTTCAGTCATGCCTGCTTCACACTGTGCTTGATTACTGGCAGGAAATCTATGATTGTGGCTATGTACTTGAAGACCAGGCGTGATAGGCAGGGGCCACAAAGTAAGAAATAATAGCCAATTTTGGTGAAGAACACTGTCGGCTCTTAGTCCACTTGACAACTGTGAGCACTAGCCATAGTAAAGCTGGCTATACTGGAAATGGAAAATATGTAAGCTGTCTCATGCTTCAGAATTTAGAGCACACCAAGTCTCAAGGCAGGTTTTGTGTCTCTCAAAATCATATCGGAGTTTTATGGTCCTAAGACCCCAGATATTATCAATGCAGGTCACACAAAATAACACCCTGCATATGCTATGCAGAGTGTTCCATGCAACAAGAACGAATGGTTTTTAAAAAAAATGTTTAACTGCAGTAGAATGAAATCGGGAATATGCAGCCTGACATCATGTGATTCTCATCAGAGTATTTTTTATGTGGTGCTTAATTAGTATTTACTTCAGGGTCATGTACATTTTATTACGTTGTAGAGGGCATACCAAAACAACCTATTCATTTACAGCGGAAGCTGTTATGAGATCACAAGGCTCGCGTGCGCCGTAATTGTCCACTGCCGGTGTCCATAATCACTATCGCACCAAATAAAAAAAATCGCAAATAAAAAACGCCAAGGACGCCATGGGATTCGAACCGAGCTCCCCGCCATGCTAGCCCAGTATTCTACCTCTGAGCACGCTGGTACTTGAAACTCCTTTGCAGACTGGCCTTAGGTAGGCTTGATGTCGGGGAAGGAATTGCAATAATATGAGTAAAAAAGTGTTTTAGAAGAGAAAAACGACAACCAGGGGTTGCACAATTTGAATTGTGCAATGAGTGGGTCATCGAATGCTCCGACACATTACAAACGCTTGATCTTGTTCACTTATTAAGTGTGGTGCATATCCCTTGTGGGCGATCGAAGTATTACAAAAGTTTGTCATAATCTGTGCATCGAAAATTGCACAAAATTTCTTGCAAGTGTGCAGCGGGTGCTGCGCTTTTCCAAAGAATGACATAGGATGGCATAGTGAATGCCTGCCTACAATGCAAAGATTTATAGCTTAGTGGCCATCCTGCAAGTGTGCTTTCAGGAGCTACCTAAACAGTGTAAAAAAAACTCTGAAAGCCTACTGCTTTAGCTTTCGCTGTGACTGGGCTGCGCGTTCCGCGCAGGCCTGGAGTATTTTATTGCGACAGCAATTTTATGGACATTCTCGGCTGGATTTCGCCGTCGGTGTCGATGTCATGCACCGTATATGTATACGTATCTATATATATGAAAATGCAAGAAAGACTAAAAGAAACCAGAAAAGATACTCTGACGTGCGGAATCGAACGTGGGACCTCTGCGTCGTGAATGCGAGGCGTTAGCTACCGAGCCGCCGAGGTGTACCTCTTTCAATGTTCAAACGGCAAGCTATTTATACCTATCACTTACCGCTGTTGGCGGGCATCTCAGGGGGGAAATTATCATGTTTTCAGCATTATAAGCAAGATGGCGCAATGAGCCCTGCGGCTCTCATCTCTCACGCGTACTTTGGCCCGCGGAGGGAATAAGGGGGTGTACGCTCGATTGCGTGCCTTCATCTTGCAGTGGCGAGGATTGTACGTCTTGGCTAACCTTTGGGTATCGACGGAATGATTCTGTTGTAGTTGCCGGGGGCACAAAGGTCACTGCAATCGTTGCACAGCCTCCGTTTGTGAAAAGGGCCTGCTTTTGAGACACAGCGAAGTATCAGCTGAGACGTTTATTCGCGTTCATTTGTGCCTGTGAGTACGGTTCGTGTGTCATTTGTGCGTGAGAAACGCAGGGCACATTTCGATCTGCTTGCAATTCTGCGCGTGACCTTCCAATTTATTGCTTTGACATGCATTGCTTCGCCTTTGCGACAAGCTGTGACTTTTTTTCTTTCTTTTGTGGCAATGCACCCGGTGTCTGGTGATTTCTTTTTTTCTTGTATTTGAAGAAAGCCCACAAAACATGAAGTGAAACCATTTGGCTGCACTCATGCATACCATATGGCAGCACGCTCAATTATGATGGGAACGAAACAGCCATGCACGTGGACCGTCAATGTATCTCTTAATAGGAATGAAAGCGTTTCTTTGCCATGTAGAGCCTTCAAAAATGCTGACGCACTGTGAAGCAAGTCGTAGAGCCGATGCCGCAGAAGTAGCCACGGTTACCGTGCATGGTTCTTCACTCGAAGCACGGTTAATTGTAATACGGTTGTGCATTAGAGTCATGTTTTTTTATAGTTCATATCATGTGGGCTTTTTTAAACACTGGAAAAAATAATCATGCTACATGTTTTTGAAAAATTTGATAATTTATTTTGGTATGCCTGTTACAACATTTTGATTTGTAATTGGCCCTAAAGCAAGAATTGAAATTCTGCACATTTGATCTTCGTTATAAGACCGGACTGTTTCACATAGTCCGGTTTGGCAAGAGGAAGCTTGCCATGTGCAGAAGCTTCGCACACATAGCTTTCCCTTCATTGTAAAGAAATGTAGTCTGCGAGCATACTTACAAACTTTTTAGCCAAAAAGGGATACTGAGGAAAAACTGAGAAAAACATCAACATTCTACTTGGACATCAACACATCAACATTCTACAGTCGAATCCTGCTACAACGAACGCCGCTTCAACGAAATTCCCACTACAACAAAGAAATTCATGGTTCCCCATCAACAGTCCGTAGGAGTCAATGCGTAAATATTGTCGCCACAACGAACACTTTTTCTTCTGCCTTCGTGCTTCAACGAAATTTCACGATGCGATTCCAGGCTCAGATATTTATTGTTATATCGTAAACCCAGTCTTTAACATTTTGATGCATTTTCAGAACCTGAAAATAATTCGACGAAGTCTAAAACATGCGTCGGCACCACCAAAAACAACCGCTGTTCAGCAAGCTTGGGCGCGGCCTTTGCCCGATAGTGATTGCAATGAGACTGCTCTGCTTTTGTCGCTGGCAAAAGCAGGGCAGTCTCATTGCCATTGCTATCGAGCAATGGCGGTGCTAACATGTGTTTTAGACTTCGTCGACGTAATTTCAGGTTCCAAAAATGCATCAAAATGTTAAATTGGGTTTACTGTATAGCCGCAGACGATCCGAAGCTGAAGCTCAGTTGCTTAGTTCATGGTTTTCTTCGCGCAGCTGCTGGGTGCATCTGCGGAACGATGCCCTTTCCGATTCCAATGCTTATCATTTTGTTATCGCTTGGCCAGTGTGATAGTAACTAATCAGAGCAGCTGTTCTTCGCATTATCAACATAATCAGCCAGCCGCGAGTGATTGATGATAACAATGGCATAAAATAAGGCAAAAGTCGCTGCTCCACAATACCCTGATGCCATCTCGGTGTTTTGACGGCGGACAGCTGCTGGTGTTAACAAAGTGGGGTCTCGAAGCGGCGAGCTCCACGCCACGCTCTTGGAGTGAACGGACGCAGAAGACGCGGTCGGTACAAACCAAACAACATACATACATTTATTTAACCAACTTTTGAACGACAATATCATCCGCCGAATCGGTACATCAATCGTTATCAACACTCTAAGTCATCATTACACAAAATTATTATACACTCAAGCAACACGACACAAGAGCGTACAAAAGGCGGCGTAGTCAACGCTTCACTCACCACATGGGCCTACCGCAGGCGGCCTGCGGTGCCATCCACGGCATACCCACCGCAAGAGACCAACTGTTCGCGGCAACCACCATGCGCAGAAGACTCGCTCAACTCTCGCTGCCACCAAGGCTTGCTTTCCGCCAGGGGTCACCGCCGGCGCTACACCATGATGATGATGACGATAGTGGTGGTCAACTCTCGAGAACATGTCACCTATTGCCGGTGATTGTCACCTGAAATGCGGCTTTTGGGCGAGACACGTGCGCCACGCAGCGCAAACAACTTTACAGGGGGTGCCAGCACCCCCACGTCTTTTTAACCTTAAATTAAACCATATTCTGAAAAACAAACAGATCAGCTACACAAGCTATAAACATGATAAACCATGTTTCTACATAATGTCCTTGCACTTCGACACCGCCGCCGGTCGATACTGCTGCATTGTCCGGCTAGACTTCACCTCAGTATCGGTCCCGCAACAGCAACGTTACCGTTGGCGCGATGATCCGTCACTTGTGCCGACACGTCTTTCCATTGCGACCAGCACTCACAAGGGCGCCGCACTGCAGGCAGTTGCGCAGGTCCCAGGCATCTCGTTCGCCCAACCTTACGACCGCATTCCTGGCTAGCAGCGCTGACGATGTGCAGAAGATAGCCAGCTGCGGATTGCAATGCTCCCGCGGCGTAAATTCCAAAACACTCAACAAAAACAATGGAGCAGGGCTTAGGGAAGGGAGCTTTGGGCTTTTCGCCCACGTGGTACGATGGTCAGCACTACTAGCTGATACATCGGCGACGGCCGAGACGCCCATCAAAATAAAATAAAAATCCCTTTTTGCTGACTCGTGCATCGCAAGATAAAAAAAGTGAGGGACGCAAGGAGCAACACCTCAACGCCACTATCTTTCTGGTTGTGCCACGTGCGACAGACGACTGCGCAGAGCCTTAGGCCTAATGAGTCGCTTGGAAACAACCGACATCCACCTAGCACCCAGCCTAGGGGCAGAAGAGGCAGCCACGAGGAGACATCCACGAGGAGACATCCACTCTGTGAGGTGGTCTTATCGCTCGCCGCACACAGCAGCTTACTGAGCGATCGGCGTCCACCGCCCCGGGCAATGTCACGACGCCCCGGCATTGATCTGCTATACAAGACAGCAATGATGCCCGGCTCTCTGAGCTCAAAGAGTGAGAAGAAGCTATTTACAAAAAAAACGGACCACCCACGAGGTTTCCGTACTCACTCACTTCGGGCCTGGCCTATAAGCCACGTGCTCTAGGTCTTGCTCACCCCAGGATGCAGACCGCATGGCTGTCGTCCCAATTCAACAACGTTCTTAAACCAATCAAATAAAAAAAACTACTTGCAAAAAAATAAAAAACCTGAATACGGACAAGTTCAAACGCGTCACAAATACCAATCTCTTCGCTTTTCAAGAAAGCACACCGTCGACGCTAGCAACGAGAAGTCCCCCCCCCCCCCCCCTCCAGGCCTACTCTACCTCGGCTCTAATAAAAGCTTGCACCGACCCGCGCAAACTGTCGTCCGATTCTCCAAGAGCCCCACGTCGGGGCAGCCAGTGTTGAGGTCTCCAATCGGCGAGCGCTGCGCCACGCTCTTGGAGTGAACGGACGCAGAAGGCACAGTTGGTACAAACCAAACAACGTACATACATTTATTTAACTAACTTTTGAACGACGATATCGTCCGCCGAATGGGTACATCAATCCTTATCAACACGCTAAGACATCATTACACGAAATTACCATACACTAGAACAACATAACACAGGAGCACACACAAGGCGGCGTCGCCAACGATTCACCCACCACCTGGGCCTACCGCCGGCGGCCCGCGGTGCCGTCCACAGCAGACCCACCGCGAGAGACAATTGTTCGCGGCAACCACCACGCACAGAAGAGACTCGCTCAACTGTCACCCGCCACCAAGGCTTGCTTTCCGCCATGATGATGACGACGATAGTAGTGGTCAACTCTCGCGAATACGTCACCTATAGCCCGGTGATGGTCACCCGAAATGCGGCTCTTGGGCGAGACACGTGCGCCACGCAGCGCAAACAACTTTACAGGGGGTGTCAGCACCCCTACAACGTGTTGATGCAACTGTTTGGTTCGTTTGCGAAAGCGGTTGTAGTCATTGTTTCAGCATGCTTTTCACCATGGCCTGGCTATGCATAGACGAGAATCGTGTTGTGACACTGCCGGGATAGAATAAAAAGCAGCGGACACTTATTGAATGTTGAGAATAAACGTTCCTTTGTTTTACTAGTTCAGATCGGCTATATTTTTTTCGATTTCACTACAACGAAATTTTCGCTTTAACGAAATTTTTTCCGTGCCCTTTCAGTTTCGTTGTAGCGGGGTTCGACTGTACTTGGAAATAGAAACTGTGCCAAATGCACGTATTTTTGAACATTTGCCTATATGTTTGGCCAATTGTCAGCATGACTGCGCGTTTGTGTGAGCCGTGATGTCACATTCAGTGACGTGCATGCACTGTGCACATCCTCCTCTTCCCTTACTCCACTTCTTCTTTCATACCACTCTCTCTCTTCTGCAAACGCACTGGTAAAGCAGAGAAGCTTTACTTCGGCCAGGAGCATTGTTCATTATCAATATTGCTCGTATTGGTTCTGGGAACCGATGTGGAAGCTGAGAGGGTTGGGAGACAGAGGCGATAGCCGGCATTGCTGGCATGCCCGTCTCCTGCGTATGTTACGTTGCCAAACGTCACATATTCTAGATCGCGGTGTGGCGCTAGGTGCAGCAGTTTGGCAAAAATGCAGTTTGTTATTTTCATTTAGTTTCATCCTGAAAAGAAGATCATGTCTATCGATTTTGGCATCTAGTACGTAAATTTTGCTAAAAGTCTTGGTGGCAAAAATTTTGCTCATTATTCCTTTAATGCATTTTGTCATCATGCAAAATGCTATACCATCATCATTGCCCTGCTGAGTGTAGTATGGAGTACTGTGTTGGCAATGCCAGTCTTTCCACACCTAAGGCAGCAAACACTCTTTCACGGTGCAGGCACAGCCTGCAGATGGCTACTCGAAGCCTGCTGGCCAGAATGAGGAGCAGTGCCAGGGTTTGCCATCCGAGGACACTATGCGGCGTTACCTCAACTTCCCCACCATAAAGGAGCGCAAGGACGGCCTGCGGTCTTCGTGGAACCCGCTCCGGATGCCCACAAACGTCATCCAAGCTCCGTGGGCGGCGATCCAGGAGTACCTAGCCCAGAACGCCTCCCGTCGGGAATGCGTCAACAGTTTGCTTCCAACGGAGGAAATTCCGTCAACTTCCTCTGCCACTGCTGCCATGGCCGCTCGCAAGAAGACGGATTTGCAGTCTTTGGAGTCATTCCATATTTGGAAGAACTGATCTAGCTGCATTCCAAGAGGCCAGTGATTGCAAGCGTGACGTGTGGCCGTTACCACATATGCGTTGTGCTCCTGGACATGACTATCACAAGAAGTGTTAAACAAGGAAAGTGAGTGAACTGCGTGGCTTTTGTGTTGTGTGAGCTAGGTCACAAAACCAATAAAAATATTGTGTTATTTGGTGGCATTTCATATAGAGAGTACTTTGTTCCTGTGCTGTTTCTCAAAAAAGACAGGAACAGGTGTGCAAATTTAGGCACTGTCTGTTCATAGTATATATGATAATGTACAAATATCAGATGGGGAAAGGAAGAGTGTGTGTGGGAAATACAAAAGAAACGAGAGGAGTCAAGTAATCTAAGTGCACAAGTGCTGTGCGACCATTACTGTATTTACTCCTGAATAAACCGACCTTTTTTTTTTTTCAGGAATGTTGACACCAATTTGGGGGATGGTTCATGTCGAGTTATAAGAACAAAAGTCTGGCTGTTGAACTGCTGCAGGCCTTCAGTTCAGTGGCTGTACTCTGAAGCCTCTAAACTTATTCAAGAACCTGCTCTCCACAAGGGGAAAACTGTCCTCGTTTTGGCTCGCAATATGCGCAATCGACTTTTTTGGTTGGCTGAAGCACTTGTTTTCTCAAGTAACGAATGCACACGGATCAATGCTAAATGAAGTGCCATTCAGCTGCTCGGTTCCCGTGCTCCAGCGCATGCTCAACCAACTTTAAAATTAAAACTGGCCTTGTAGCTGGCATACTGACCAGTTGTGGTGTTCAACAAGGTTCACTAGAAAATAACGTGACAACGAAAATGCACCCTCGGATGGCAGCGCATGCAGCGGAGCGCGCGGGCATTAAGACACCCTATTCGTGGCAAGATCAGGCTATAGGTGGTAGCGCCGTCTCTGCGGTAGTGTGGATAAGCGGTCAGCAGTGTGTATACTACTGCACGCAGCGGCGCTTAGTTGCATGCGGTCTTAGCCAATCGTCGGCGATTAAAATGCGTTGAGTTCAGTTTACTGGTAATATCCACTATAAAAGTCCGCATATAGCTCAGATGCACATATTTTCCGGGTGTAATTTGGGGATGAGAAACGCGGGAAAAAAAGGTTTTCAACGAAAAAAAAAATATTTATTGACACACTTCATTCATCGTCGTTGTCGGATGCGCTCTCTTCCGAAGCTTTCTTGTCGGAAATGTTCTCCCACAGCACATCATGCTCGGTGCCATCAAGCGCGCTAGAAATGGAGCACTTTTTGAATGCGCGGCAAACAAGCTCCCAGGGAATGCAGGCCCAATCCTCGGCTATCCACAAGCACAGCCCAGCTGGCGAGGCCCTTTTCAGCCATCCGGCACGGCTCACTTCTGTTTCTCCGGAGCTCGTCTACTCCGGGTACAAGCGCTTTACATGGTTGTTAAATGGCTTATCAAGGCACACATTAAGCGGCTGCAGCTTCGATGTGGGAGGGATGACGAGGAGCTTGGTGCGGGAGTCGCGCAGCAGTTGCTTTACGGAGTCAGTCAGGTGACACCGAAACCTGTCGAGCACAAGCACCGAAGGTAGCCCCAGCAGTGCTCCGGGCCGTCGACACGACACTGACCTTATCCAGCCAAGCACTAGCAATTCGTCTATCCAACCTTTGTCCTGGCAGTGGACGCCGACATTTTCCTGGGAACTTTTCCCCCGTTGTCAGCGTCTTTTGTTTGAACACCACGTGGGATGGTAGCTTATGACCGTCTGCCTTGCAGGCCAACATTAGTCGCCCATGTTTTTTCGTTCCCAGTCGATCACACGATAAAATTTTCTGAAGCCTTTCTGATGCATCATCAGTGCTGAAGACATATCCAGGTAGACCGGTGTTTGATCCTCGTTGCCGATCTGGCCCATCTGAAAGGGGACAGCCTTTCGCAACGCAATTACATACTTTTGAAACTTTACGAGATTCTTTTCATAGCTCTTTGGTAGCTTCTGCAAGATCGGTGTGTGCCGACACAGGGAGAGAACCCAGCGCGGCTCATGAAGAGCGACACCCAGTTCTTGCTCGCTTTGAAATCCTCTGGCTGAATGCGTTTGACTGAGGCGATCTCACTCGCCTTCACTTTTAGTAGCTCAATGTGCAGCTCGCTACTCCCGCATAAAGTGTGCGAGTTCTTGTTGCACGTCAGGAAATGCTCCTTTTTAGGGGCGAAGCTCCTCTTAGTCTACGTCAGACTAATCTGTGTCAGACTATTGTCCTGCGTCAGACGTAACTGGCAATATCTCCCGGACAATATAACAGAAGGTGCTGTTTCATCACCATTTCTCATCTCATTTCCTAGATAACGTTGGTCCAATAGAAGTGTGTTCTCTGGTGGACAAGAAATCGTCGGCCTTTAAATCAAGCATTTCGAAACAGTAAAAAAGTCAGCTTTATTTCACCGAGCTGCAAAATCAAGGCATTTTAGAATGCTGTTCACAAAGAACATGATCAGCCATTGACAAAAGAGCAGGGCCAACTGGTATGCGAAGTCTTCTCACACAAATCGCTTGATCTCGACAAGCAAAGTAGAGTGGCCTACCGCAATGCCAGCTGACGTTAAAAGAGGATATTGTTGCACATGGCGCACTGGCACAACAAGTAGTGTCGCGCTGTTTCCAAAGCTCATCATAGATTTGACAAAGTTGGATCACTTCTGCTACTGTTTGCGGGCTCTTGGCGACGAGCATCTGAAATGCGCCATCAGTCACACCTTTCAAGATGCGCTTGATCTTCTCGGATTCTGTCATGGCAGAGTTGACATGCCGGCAAAGGTCAACCACATATTCGATGTAACTGCTGCGATTTTCACCATTTTGCTGAGCCCGAGTGCGTAAGCGCTGTTCGGCCCGTAGTTTGCGAAGTGCTGGACAAACAAATCCGCAAACACCATTTGGAAAGCCGACCAGGTGGAAAGGTCCTTCTCATGATTACGGTACCACAGACTGGTGACATCAGTCAAATAAATTTGGACGACGGTAAGCTTGTGCCCGTCGTACCACTTGTTGTGCTTGTTCACCCGGTCGTATTCGTCGAGCCAGTCTTCCACGTCGTTGTCGTCAATTCCACTGAAGGTAGGTGAATTGCATTGCCGAAAGGAGCAGGGACAGACAGGAGCTGGTGTAGTTGGAGCTGAGGCGGCTACCTGCTTAGCAACTGGAGGCAACGTGTGGTTTCGTAATTCCAGAATTATGCACTATTCAGCACCTCCAACAATTAAAATGAGGTGTTTGGGAGTGGCACTCATTTATACAACAGAAGAGCAGTCATGACTAGTGAAGCGGTAATGGAGGAACCAGCCTGTGCACCGAGTCAACCAAATGTCGTCTTATTCACAGTCTGAGTGGTACCTTCCGCCTTTCTGAGTAGCACTCTTCTTCACTATATTGAATATGACATTTAGAAGTTATGTTTTCATTGTATATGCTTTGTTTCAGGCGTAGATTAAATGAATCTGATATAGATGCCACAGTTCTTGAGTTGACTAATGGAAACAAATGTTCAGATTTGGAGAGCAGGCATAATTAGCGCATTGAAGCAGAGCAGTCAACAAGCAAAGGCCTCTTGAACAATGCTAGCGGTGATAATTAAAGGATTAAATTTGAACATAATCATGATCACTTTGGCAATGATAATGAACGACAGTAAAGATGGTGAGGACCACGTTAAAGTACAGTGTTGGGCAAGCAAATGGGCCTGGAATGGGGATGACGAAAGCAGTGAAGATGAGTAATAAGGCATTTATGGTGATGTTAATGAACGATGATGTGGAAAATGCTGAGTTGGAGCCATTAGCAAGTGGCCATGTGAACATTGATGATGGTGATATTAACGATAGAGTTGAGCTTTGATAAAAGCTGTGATTATGGCAAGTAGTGATGATGATATCAATGCGTTGAAAAAGAGTTGCTGGTAGGCGAAATTTTCTTGTACAAAGAAGGAGGATGGATCTAGTGTCCAGAGATATGGGCACATGATTTGTTTTTTTCTAGAATTAAAGCTTGTGGGAATTGAGGCTAACCTGCCACCATTGCGTCGGCTTTGTCGCCTATTTCTCCCGTTCTCGTCCTAACATGACTATCCCCTCCTCAGCGGTTTGTCGGTGCTGGTGGAGCGGGAGTGATGTTGACCCCTTTCGCCCGGATTTCGACTGGCACTGCGCTCAAGTCTCTCCGGGCGTTTTGCATGCGTGCGTCGGGAGTCAGTCGGGGACGTCTCCGTGACATCCGAGGGTGAACACAAGTTTTCTTTTCGTCGTCGGCTCCCTTTGTTTGGAGCTCGCTCGAACTCGTCAACGGCACCTTGCGTCCACAGTGCACGCTTACCTTTTGTTGCCCCTTCCGAACGCTAGGGCGAAGACACGTGCGATGTCCTAGCGCGTGGCCGTACAACGCCGACCCGTACCTATTGAAACCAACGCAAGAGGAGTTTGCCCTCGCTTGAGCGATCGGGTCCTGTGGTCACAGATTGTGAGAGCAATGCACCGTAATCGTGAGGGTCGATTTTCCCTCAACGGCTGGTCATGGTGAATCCTTTTTGGCCACGAAGACGTGCTCACGGCATCCTTCGTGTTGTATCTTTCGCCCGATGTGTGGATAAGCCTCGTTTGCTTTCCCGCCACCATTTTGCAGCGGGCTCTGTATGCGTTCTTGATGCTGCTGCAGGCAATGAAATGTTTTGACCTGTTTGAAAGCAGTACTGTGTACTCTCCACGCTGCGCTAGGCGCCTTGGATGTCCAAATGCACGTGCGCAGTGGCGTTGGCCATGCAAGGCAATGGTGACCGCGGCCCTGCGGCTTGCTAAGACCGAACCCATGCAAGTGGTCGTACTTTTTCAAGATACATAGTACACTACAATGGCACCCAACCCGGTATCAAATGCTTAAAGCTTCTGACTGCTCTTAGCTAGTCAGTTCGCCTGTGCCATTTGGCCTCAGCAACATGTCAGCTTCGCGGGATATTCATCCGCTGTCCTTTTTGGAGGATGCGGCGTTGCTCAATGGGGCCAGTGCCTCTATCGACGGCACCCTTCTGCATCCGTCCGTGTCGCCACCTCCTGTTGTGGTGAAGACACGAGGCGCCTATCCGCTCCCTTTGGAGATGGTGCGTCATTTCGGAATGGGCCCGTTGCACTATCCAAACGGTACGCACAAACAAGGAGCCTTTTTTCTC